CAGACTTTAGCAGCAGCAGTTGGAGGAGGGGATGGGGGGGGGGGGCCACGTGTCCCATGGGGTGCTAGTTGAATAGCCCTGATTAGAGGGTGTTTTATTCTACCAATTACCTCTTCTTGCAGCCATCAATCTAATACGGATGCTGGAAGAATAGGCAGACTCCAGTAAGCGAGCTGTGTTGTCAGTGCTTGCTCTTGGGGCTCCAAGAGCCAGTATGATAACATTAGACCTAATTTTGCTGATCCTAAGAAAGGTCACAGCTAGACAAGTCAGACAGGAGGATCCATATAATAGCCTTAGTTCTACCAGCTTCAGCTAAACCCCAAACACCACCTGGAATATAAGACCTATTTTCCTACTGTCACTGCCTCCTTCCTGTCTCCGCCCCCTCCCCCTCCCACACACTTTACTTCTCATATTTCTTCTTTTTGTCTGGTATGATAGGAGTCTGGTTTAACCAACCAAGATAACTACATTTTGCAACAGTGCTGGGAAACTGTGACTAGATAGAAAGTTAAAGGCAATTATCTTAAACAGGTCAGCATTAATACCAGTTTTGCTAGTTCTTGGAATGGCTGACGGAGACTCTTTATAAAGCCTATTTCCCCTGCTGTGAGTTTGCAAGTAATTCAGCCAGAGAAACAGAAGCTGCCTTCTCTGTACCCCATCTTTTTCTGTTTGTTTTCATGGAAACAAGACTGGATTTCAACAAGCGCTCCATCTCAGCTACTTTCTTAATTTTTGCCCAACAAGAGCAATCATTTCCTCTCTAATACAGTCTGAAAGACTGTCAAACAGGGCATTTTCCTGATATTGCAGTCACAAAAAGTAATTCTAAAGGCATTTTCCTCCAACTTAACTAACCACTGAGTTTCCCCTATAAGGACCGAGTATTTTCCATGCTTGTCTTTCCCATTGTTGCAACCTAGATGCAAACCAGAATTTTTGGGAGCTAGCCTACAAAACCAGGACAAACTGCTGGCAACCACAGTGTCTATGAACTTCACTTTTAGCCAGGGCGCTATGAGTTTACATGTCGGTATCAGCTGATTTCAAACCAGTAATACCCTACAAACACATGCTTTTTATAATCAAGGTCATAGTAGTGCAAAAAATTGTGCCGACTAATTCATCTTTTTCTTGATGAGAAGAGAGACTGATACTGTTGCCAGCATCCTTGCACAGGACATGAGCCAGCAAATTTCGAAAGATTTAAAACTAATTTCTAATCTAGATGATAAAATGCTGAGTGCTATGCAAGCCTATACAGGCTGCTGGTTTACCCAAGAGAACTTGTTTGGTTTGATATGATACGCATCTGGTATTTCTAAAGCTGTTTATTCTCAGGAAGCCACTTCCCTAAAGAGTCCCAGAAACCTTAATATGTTTTCCTTCCCATCCCCCTAATCTGTGATTCTCTGAACCTGGAAAGAGACTTATTAGGTCTAATTCTTTGATAGTCTAATGAATGCACTGACTTCGGTGGAATTTGACCTGCTTGTAAGAGCTGAGAATCTGGCCATTAGATTCCACGTGCAGGTGGCAAACTCTTCTGCTCCTTCTGTTCGAAAGGGACCTGTGAATCCTAAGGTTTACTGGCTTTGGCCTGAATTTGACTCTCATGATAAGGTCAGCTCCAGCTCACTTCTTCGTGATTCTGTAACCAAATCTAATATTACACTGTTAGCATTTTAATTTCAAGGCATACTAACTGCTGAACAGCTGGAATAAAAATATTCAGCTTTTTAGTGCCCAAAGTGCAGGCAGTTTGGATCTGCCTTAGGTGCAGGGAGCTGGCTTGGCTTTCTATAGGTCACCTAAACCTGATCTTTCCAATGTTCTTTTTATTTGTCACCAGACAAATGAAACAGAGCTCATTGGAGTTAAGAAGATGCCTGAAAGACAGGGTCTACCTGAAGCTCTGTTTTGTGTTCTACAGCTGAGCTTGGTAAGGCTTTGGCTATGGCATTGGAAGAGGCCCTAGATCTCACCAAGCAACAATGGAAGCATTCACAAGAGAGAATTAAAAAGCAAAAGCTGCAGCTAAAATGCCAGCTGAAATATTATGCTCCACATTGGGCACTGTCTGATTGAAATTGCTGCCAATAGGCCAGGAAAGGTGGGAACCACTACTTGTCGCAATGCTTATATTTATAGGTTGTGCTTTTGTCACCACCAAGTATAAATTTACATTTTCGCTGAAATAAAAGTTGAGAGTCTGATGTAATCACATAGCTCCAGGAACCAAAGGGCTTGATACTGGTCTTCTAGCCAGTCTAAGAATTATTCCAACATCACTTGTATTTATATATATGAACGGCAAACTGAGAATCATTTGAAGGAACTATAGATCAAAAGGACTGTGACCCCCTTAGTGAGACAAACAATCTTTTAATTATTAGAACTGTTAGGGGTAGGGTTGGGTTTTTTTTTGAGAAGGGGGTTTGGCCAGTCTGAGATCTTTTGGGAAAGATGTGAGCAGTTATTTTTGGCTTCTTGGAGGAGCTGGACTCTATAAGTTGGTGAAAATGTAAAAATGGGTGGTCCACCTGAAGGAAAATAGGAAGAATGCACAGGGGAACAGAACAGCCACGTTGGCATAACTCCTATCCTCCAGAGTACTCTGTCCCCAATTACTCACCCTGCAAGGCATTGGCCCTTTGTACCACTCCATCTCCATGCTGGCCTCCCTTTATTCTTCTATCCCAGGGGACGCTCATTCTTGAGTGTCCCATCTCAGTCTCACATTTGTTTCCCCGTCTCATTTTAGACCTTTGCAGTGATTGTTTTTAGTTCTTTCTTGTCATAGCTTCTGCAGTAAGTCACCTGAATTTCTTTACCAGATATCCTGTAGACAAGGCTTTTTGGTGCTGGACTGAAAACAAAAATATTCACAATCATAAAGCAAGACTGAGCAAAGGTGTATTCAGCCTTGAGGTAGAGAGTCAGAGATCAGTCCTATTTTAGGTCTATGAGAGCTGTTGCAGCAAAAAGGCAAATGGCTGGGCATTAAGACCCACTAACACGTTACCAGGATGACTCTCCATCTCCCCATATTAAAAATGAAAGATGCCAGTCAGTAACTTATGGAAGAGTAGAGTTTAGAGCATCTTCCCTTACCTGGGCCTTAGACACTTGAGTTGCCAGTTCTCAGAAAGGGTGAATGGTGGGCCCATGTTTTAGTCCATGCGATCTGGGAAGAGCTCTGCACTGAGGGCTTTCCCAGATGCAAATTGAAGGGGTTGAGGAAAAAAAAAAAAGGGGGCAGACTGTGTTTTGATATAGGCGCCTGATTTCTGACTGTGATTTATTTCTACTTCTATGCAAGGAAACAAGTCTCTACATTGTTCAAATAAACGCATTTCCAAATCACTGATTTCTACAAGCTCCCAAATCAGTTATTGCTCAGCAGATGGAATGACAGGACTTTTCCTCAGAGCTTACAGAGATTAAAAGGCCCTTCAGCTGACCGTCCTCTCTCAGGAGCTCTGGGTGACTAAGCCTTATTATTTCAAAGCTTCTTCTAAATCCAGATCAGGACATGCAGTCTCTTAGAATAAAAGATAATCCCTGTTGGGACAGAGTTATGAGACGAGCCCAGAACCTTATGCACCCAGGTGCACATGCAATTACTAACAGTAGTGCATGGTGCATGCACCATGAGCATAAGAACCTGCCACACCAGTTACGTTACCTGATTTTTGGTGCATAGTGTTCAGAATTGCTTGTCGTATAGTGTGACTGAACCAGCTGCAATGTCTACATTTTTTACATGGCCTAAAGCCTAGTAGATCTGTCAGTGTTTGGCAGTGTCCTTGCATTTCTTGGAAGCCTCTTTTCTTTCTTGCTGTGGGAACTGGTAGCAAGTGTGGAGAAAACAGAATATTTACCTCCAGGATCCTTTGTACAATTCTCATCTGTGTTGAGCCTGTTCTTCTTTGAGCTAGTCCTGAATGCATACACCAGGGACACACAGAAGGATGCCTCCTGGTGAATGATGTTCACTGATGATGGAGTTCTGATCAAAGAAAGCAGAGAATATGTAGAGAAGGATTTGCGCAGATGGAAGCATCTTCTGGAAATGCATGGTCTGCTCATCAGCAGGGAAAATGGTCTGCTGATGTGCAAGTCATTCACATTTTCAGGTGACAGTACCAGGCATACTTCTGTGTCACTGAACCACCTGGTACATACCACCAGTGTACATGTATCCCTGGGATCTACTGTGCAAGAAAATGGGGGAGAGAAATGAAAAAATTAGGAGCAGAATATAAAAAATGAACAAAATGGAGGGAAGTGAGCATGGTGGCTTGTAACAGGAAATGCTAATTTATCTGAAGGGAAAAATCTACAATTGCATCCATATGGAGCAGAGTATTGGGTAATGAAGAAACGGCAGGTATCCTGGGAGGCAAGAATGGCGAGGGTGGATTTGTGGAATCCCTGAAAAAAGACTCCACAACAGACAAAAATGAGAACTACCTCAACAGTAAGTGAGAACAGACTGAGATTGTTTGGGCACATTGCCTAACGGTGAGAGTATAGGGTAACACGTGTGGAAAATTCAGGCTGTGATAGCCTACACGCAGGAGAAAGACCCAAGAAGATATGGCATGAGTGAATTAAAAAAAAAATTGAGAACATGCAGTGTTTCAGAAGAGATGGTAATGAACAGCAGCTTGTGGAAAATGAGGACCCAAAACACAGACCCCACCAAGAGGGGAGCACACTATGATGATTGCCAATAAAGCATGTTAAATAAATTAAGAGCTAGATAAATGACTCATCTCTAAAATCTAAAGTAGTAGTTGTCAGTCACTGAATGCAATTTTCTGCTCAGGGGTTTACAGGGATTAATATTAGCCTGGCAGTTTTCTACATGTTCACAAGTGATCCAGAAGTAAACAAAATGACTGCTGGTAACATTTGCAGGTTACACAAACCTGGGTGGTAAGGGAGTGACTTGGATTCCTTTAGAGTTTCAGTCTGCTCAAACAAAGATGTGTTTTCACACGCAATTATACATCTCTGAACAAGGAGTTCAGGCTGGACTCAAAATGGTAGAAAGCAATCTGGAAAGTAGCAACTGAAAAAGAAAAGGACCGTGCCCCAGGCTCGAGTCAGGCTCTCCCCAGTCCTTGCCCATCTGATCAAGCCAAAAAATTCCTTCCCCGGCCCAAATGCTGCGATCAAAATGATGCTGCACAGAAGGCGAGACCTTGTAGCCCAGAGGTCAGCAGCATTTTGCGGGGGAGGAGGGAAGGGGGATTAATGGAGTTGAGCTCCCAGCGCAAGCTGCTCCTGACATGCTGCTGGAGGCCGTCATCGCTCCCCTCACAAGGCCGCTTTCCCCCCTGCCTCGCTCCACAGCCCAGATAAAGTGGCTCTATAGACCACACGTTACCGTCTCCTCTCCCCCACCGACTCCTCCATGTACATCTTCACCCATGGCCTATCTTGCAGGCATCCCAGCCCAGCCTCTGGCTTCTTTCCTAGTCACTTCATCCAGGAAGAACACATGCCAGCCTGGCAAAGGGCTTTTAAACCCAAAAGCTTACTTTTTTCCAACAATTTAAGTCAGTCTAATAAAAGAGATCCAATTCACCCAAAGAACCTTGTCTGCCCGTTTCCTTAGACTGACATGGCTACAACCTGCACCCCCTTCTAGTACACTCCTGGCAATGGAAGTACAAAAACCCACCCCGTTTTATCTGGGACCAGCCTTCTCATGCTTCAGAGAAAGGGGAGCAGCTAATATTAGCTTCAGAGGAAAGCTTTGCAATCCCCAGCGGCATGCAGGAGGGAAAGCAGTTCCTCCCGGCCCCCAACAAAGGCAGAGCGGGCGGCAACGGGGGTGCGAGGGGTGCTGCAGCCCCAGGAGGGTGCGAGGCAAAGGCTCCCCGAGGGCCCCCTCGCGCACGGGACCAGCTGGGGGCCGCGAGGCGCCTCCAGCCGAACACGTGCGCTACGTGCGGCGCCCGCAGCTCCCCCGGGTCCTAGCGGCGAAGCAGCCTCCCGCGCCTGCGCACTACGGCCCAGGCCGCCGAGCAGCTACCCCCAACCCACCGATACCGGCCTGGAGACACAAAGGGGGGCGGGGGGGCGCGGACGTGGCGCCTCTTCATTGGCCGCGGTGCGGCGTCCCTCCGGCACGGGGGCGGGGCCGGCGCCCCCCCCGGTGCGGGGCAGACAATGGGGCGGCCGCGCGGAGCGGGCCCTGCTGACGCGCCCCGGGCTCGGCCTATCGCCGCCCACACTGAGGCTCTTTAAAAAAACGAGCGCCGGCCTGGGTTGTGTCAGCTGGTGGATCCCTCCGCGCATGTAAACACAGCTCATGGCGCGGGGGCCGCCGTGGCCCGGCCCCGCGCACGTGCCTTGGGGGGTCGCGGCCGGCTAGAAAGCCACCAAAAAAGGGAAACAAAGCACCGAGCAAAGCCGGGGAGATCCAGCTGGACGGCTGGGGCGTGGGGGGAGGCATTTCTTCCCCGCCCCCGTGTCAGGCCCAGGCAGGGCCAGCATCAGAGAGACCCCCGGATGGGGCTGCAGGTCCTGAGGGGAGCTGGGGGGCCACGGGGACCTGGACACGCTGGAAAGGGGCGGAAAAATCATGAGAAGCGATTGCCCAGCGAGTTTAAGGCAGGACCATTGTGATCCCGCGGGTTATACCGTGCCCAACGCCGGACACGGGCAATAGTGCGCTCTGGTTTGCGACATGAAAACAGCCGGCAGTGCACGGGGAACCGAGGGAGGCGATTCTCCAGCCGTGTTCAAGCCTCCCCTGGTCTTGTGTCCAGCGACAGGCCTCTGGAGAGGTGGCCGAATTAAAGAGGGCTCAGCTGGTGACAAAACCGGCGTCTGTTATCTTTGCGCGACTCAGCGTCGATTTGCGTGCGCTCAGCCATTCGCAACATTACCGGCAGCGCTTGTCGTTCCGGGCGATGGGAGCAGCATAGATGCCTGCACGGCTTCAATTGTCCCCGGCCACGTGCTCCCTCCTTCAGCAAACGCTGCCGTGTTTAATTTCTCTCTGGTGTGGTGGCTCCATGAGGATGTCTATAACATAATCATGGCTTGTATAGATGCACGAGACTATAACAACGAGGGTCCCACTTGCAAGCACCTGTTCTGTACCTGCCTTAAAAATAGATCGTTTTGGTGGAGGCATTGGCGATGTGTAGGGTGCACCCCTGGAAATGCCAGCCACGAAACTGAAAGTGCCGGAAGAAGTGCACTTTTGGTTTCATCACTGGTGATTTTGGGCTCCGTGATCGGCCACTGGGGGACCCACCTGGTTGGCGATCTGGTGCCCCTCCAGGCTCGGGAGGCACCAGTCACCCATGGGTGGAGGTAAACTCTATCCCCAGTCCAGTTGTGTTAAAAGCCCCTCCAAATGATCTCATAAAAGTCCACATTGGCCTTCACGGATGTACGTGGTAGCTGTGTTGGTCTGAGATGGAAAGAAATGCACAAATCTAGAACTCTTTTTGTTGCAAAAAGGATACCTTGTATTAGACCAACTGAGAAATCGGCAAAAAATATATACATCTTTTTCTGCAAGCTGTCGGGCTCACGCCCTTCATCAGGCTCAGGGAAAGTTCAAGATGGTTAAAAATCCCTGTAGACAGGAAATTGTTAATTTTTTTTATTTGTATGCAAGGCCAAATTAGCCCAAACTAATTCCAACTTCCAGAGTCCAGAACCAGATGTGGCCCTGCTACTGGCAAACATCCTCCACCCGCACCTGGGGCTTCAGATGTTTCCAAATCCTTAGGTGGGCATCCTACGTGCAGGCCCAAGCCTGGAGGCATGGGGTTCGGATGCCCCGAGTTTTGCTTGCCCTCATCCCTATGGGCCTTGGAGCAAGCAAGGGAGGAGACTCCTGTTTTCATGAAGCGGGTTTAAAGCTGCTGCACCTCGCTGGGCACCGAACCAGGCCGGAAGAGCCGTTCTCCTGCAGGGTGGTTCAGGAAAGCTGTCTTCTTGGACAAAGATACACGGTGTTTCCCCTGCCAGGTTAAGAAGCCGTTACGCTTGATCTGAGCCTGCAAGAAGCCGAGATTCTACACTTGATCCCAGCCTTCAAGAGTCCTAGCTTGAATTTTATTAGTCGATGTTAAGAGTCATGAACCAAAAAGATGGCAGAGCCAGAAGGGAAACAGAGCGCCCGAGCCAGGGACTAACAAGAGGGATGGGGGTGAGGATGAGACCACAACTAGGTTACAGAAAATACAATGTTGGCCAGCTAATGGGAGGAGGGGGGCTTTCACTTGATCCGAAGGAGGAATCAAACTTCATTTTGGCACAGAAGACACATCGGCCATCACGCTTGTCTGAGCCCGTCCCTCCAAGCCTGCTGTGGGGGACTTTCTGGGACAAGCTTTAGCTGGTAAGGACCACTTTGTGTGGGGGGAACAGGAGCTGCAGGTGGCGTCTTGTACCAGAGCAGCGAGGGACTGATATGCTTCAGGTGGGCAGGAGCCCCCCGTGGTGTCACGTATCAACTCCCTCCACAGCGCACCGGCCGGTTGTGCGCCCTGCGCAGGGGCCGGGCCGGGGGTGGGTCCGGGACTCTTTTCTCTCCCCTTCCGGCGGAGGCGCACGTCTGGTTGGGCGGCTCGCGCGGCGACGGAGGCGGCTGCGGGAGGATTGTTTGGAGCGGCGGCGAAGCAGGACCGGGACCGGGACCGGGCCTCGGCCCAGGCCCGGGAGTGATACAGCCGGCCCGGCCTGGCCCGGCCCGACCCGGCCATGGCGGAGTTCCTGCCGCCTCCCGAGTGCCCCGTGTTCGAGCCCAGCTGGGAGGAGTTCGCCGACCCCTTCGCCTTCATCCACAAGATCCGGCCCATCGCCGAGCAGACGGGCATCTGCAAGGTGCGGCCGCCGCCGGTGAGTGCTCCGCCGCCGGCCGCCCTTTGTGTGTGGGGCGGGCTGCCTCCCAGCCGGCCGGGCCCCTCGTGGCGGGGAGAGCCTGCCCCGCACAAGTAACTTACCAGCCTCGAAGCGGTGCCCCCCTCCCCGGGGAGGTCTCTTTTCTCCACTCTTTTTTCCATTTTTATTTATTTTCTTTTTAATGTGCCAGCGGCTTGGCGAAGTTCCCTGGGGCGGCTGCTGCTCCGAGGGGAGCAGCCACGACGGGGGGAGACCTAGAGGAGGCAGCTGCTGGGTGTTGCCCTCCATGTTGGCATTGTGGCGAGCTGGGGTTGTACATGGCTCCCTTTGCTGCTGCTGCTGCTGCTCCTTGCCCCCGTGCCCAGCCCCGAGGCTTGGCTTTAGTTGTGACAGGTAACCTTCCCCTCCACTTGCATCGCCATTGCTTCTCCAGCCCACAGTTTGGAGGGGGGCCTCTTCTCCCTCTCGCTCTCTCTCTCTCTCTCTTTCCCTCTCTCTCTCTCTCTCTCTCTCTCTCTCTCTCTCTCTCTCAATCCCAGGCAGATATGGCCACCATTTTAGAAAGCTAGACACACTGGGGGAAAGTATGAAGTCCTCCTCATCACCTCGGGTGGCAAAAGGATTGGGTTGGAAACCCACAGTTTCCTTCTCTCCCTTTATTTCTTTATTATTTTTTGGTGTTACTTAAATAGTTTACCTCTCCCAAGTTTTAATTTGCGCAGAAATGTAGTTTCATTCTGTTTTAATGAAGGCACTGTTTACACACTGCTGTAAGGAGACCTGTTTGGGTCCGGTTCTTGTTGGGACCAAGATCTGTTTAATAACACTCCCTGGGAAGGGTTTTTTTTTTTTTTGGGAGGGGGGGAGAGGGGAGGGTTCATTCCTACTTTCAAGGGCAAGGTGGTGCAAAGGAACTTAGGATAGTTACTGTACGGCAGCCAAAATGCTGTCCTGCTAAATAAGAGTGCTTGAAAGATTTACGTTTGGTCCAGTAAGAAGTGAGGTTTACCAAATGCTTGTGCGTGTATTTTTGGTTAAGTGTAAGTTCTGAAACCAAAGTGCATGAATCGGACGCATTTTGGTTGGACTTGATTACATTTAAAATTCTTGTGCAACTAGAAAAAAAAAAAAAACCCTTCAGTAACTTGCTTCTTGCCAACAGGATTGAAATAAAATAAAGTTACTTCATGGTATAGTCTGAGATCAGAAATACATTTATAATCGGGTTGAGCAGGGTCATCTTCCTACAGGTAATTCCATCTTCTGGAAGAGATGTAATATGCAATTGAGTGAATGTGTGTCCTCATTAACTTTACATTTACTGAAAAGGGGCTTGGTCTTGAACCTCTATAATTTCTTATATGAAAATCAATTCTTTGGCCGACTGACTCTCTTTTTTTCTTCAAACTATGAGCAGAATTTGCTTTCTACGTAGCTTTTTTGGTGTTTCAGTTTTTAAATCTAAATGTATCCTATTTGCAAGTTGGCATAGAAAAGAAACCTAATAATACATGATGTTTTATAAGCTATGCTTCTTAATGGAGAAGTTGGAGATGGAGGGACCTTTAGATCTTCAAATAACTACTGTCAACATTTCTTTGTTCCTTTACCAAAGGAAGAACATGGTTTCAAATGTCTTGTTCTCCAACACCCCCTTCCCCCCCGCCCCCCAAAAGCCAGCATCCAGCCAATACCAGCTATATTGCTATAGTTATATGTTTCACTGGCTTTCTAATGTGCCTATCTCTGTAGAGCCAGACTGGATACAGTGGAAGCTGCTGGATACTGAACATGTTTGTACTTGACTGGAAGATGAACGCTCATGAAATCTGGCCCCTAGCTCTTGCTTATGCTAGAACCAGTCATAGCACCAGTGTAAGCACAACTTCAATTCCTCATTAGCCCTCCTGAAACCATATCTCTGATGAGATCTTGAAATTGCGTTTTGGGAGCTTACATACTATAGGGGAAGAGGTCAAACTCCTGTGAAGTCCATGGAACTGACACTTTCCTAGCCCTTCTTAACAGCATGAATGTGCTAGTCTTCCTCCTTACTGGAAAGGTGCTGAATTTTTGAAAAGTGGGCTCTTCCACATTTACACCAAAATGTTAGGGTCATGCTTTCTACCTCAGGTAAGGGAGCATCAGAGTTTTATTTAAAATCAAGATAGATGTTGCACCATGTGATGCAACAGGGGCTAACATGAAGACCTTACCATGAAGGTGATACTGTATGCCCAGTGTACCATATTCTGGATGGGATCCTGAAATCTCCAGCTAGGCACATGGCTCTGAAGTCCCTACATGCACACTCTCTGCAAGTTCTACCTCACTGGGTCATTCTGAGACAAGTAGGTGGCATTAAGTTAAACTTCAGCTTGACTGACTTTGCTGTGCTATGTTTTTGGATTATTGTCAGCAGATGTGGTTCAAATGCAAAAGTACTAGCCCAACTACTGGATGGTGGAACCCAAGGTCTGGGATAATACACAGTATCGGGGTCAGGATGGAGACTTGCTCATGAACTAATTCTGGTATCACATGCAGTCCCACAAGGATGACAGCTGGTTATGCTACAGAAAAAGTAGCTCTGGTTGTTGTCCACCAGTGACGGTTATCAGTTACTTGCCTGCTGGTTTGAAGCAGTAAAAAATAATCTATGGTGGATTAAAGTTTAGAGGGCAGTGTCTGATGTATTGCAGGGGATGTGATCAAGGTGACCCAGTGTACCAGAGATTGGTAATGGGTTTAAGCAGCTGAAGGGCCATTAGATCTCAAACTTGCCTTATGTCGCCATCCTTACACATGCACGTGTATAGCAACAAAAAGAGTTACTAACCAATCCCTATGCTAGAAACTCCCCAAACTGGTTTTGTAAGAGTGGTTAAAGGGAAATGCATTCCCAGTTCCATTGTTGATTTTGTTCTTGTTTTAACTGCAGTTCTCTGGCTGTAATAACTGTAGGCCAAAAATGGCAAGTGTGGCTATGTTTTCCTGGTGCATTTTGTATGAAGTGGGAAGGCAAAGGTGAAGTTACTTGTGAATGTTGGCATGTGGAGGTTGAAAGTGGTATGGCTGCCTATGTGCTCAGCCGGGGAAGGGATTTTAAGCGAGTCTATGTAGCACAGCCAATAGTTGATAGACTGCTCCAATGAATGCTCTCTCCATAGACTTCCAAACCAAAGTGGAAAACTGTGAATACAAAAGAAAGGATTGAATGCATTGTATTTGTTTTGTGCTGTGTTGCAGCTTTGAGTTTTTCATGCATTGAAAACGTACTTTATTTATCATGCATTTTTTGTGGTGAGTAAATTTGAGGAGCAAGTTATTGTAACCTTTGGCATTAGCTTAGTGAGTTTGTATTTTGGGTGATTTTAGATTAACTCTGACTCTATGAATTGATTGTAATAACACTTATAGAAGAATGAAACAGTGATTGCTACATAAGAAGAGCATCCTGACTGCATGGAGTAGCCAGAGCCTTTGTTTTCAGGAGGTAGCAAAACTACTTGCCACTAGTAATAAAAAGTAACATGGACAAAAACAGGGGCAGTATAGGATTTCTTTAAAAAGTGCATTGTATTTGGGACTGCATCTTCCATTGCAGTTTCTTGCAGAAAAATGGGGAGCCTAAAGAAGGTTGGAAGGAGCTGGTAGATACAGTGCAGTGAAGCCAGGGTGTTGGATGGGTAATGCAAGGGCCAGTTTTCCATGGCCAGTTTTTGGGGCCTTAACAGCTAACACTTCTGGCTGCAGCTATCTGTCTCTCTTTCTCTAGGCTTGTACTCTTATTTGTCCTCTTTGAGTTGGTCCTGCCGCTTCTAGAATATGTGAATCTTTATGTTCTGCCTCTTGATAATGACCCTTTTTTTTCCCTCTTGAAATAAGTTTGTCCTTTCTAGTTCTCTTCCTTGAAAAACTTTTCTCAGTTTTTTCCTCTCCTTGGTCTTCACATTTTGTAAAGCAGTTAACTGTGCAATGTGCAATTAACTTGTGGATCTCAGTGTCACAGGAGGTTGTAGAGGCAGACAGCACAGCCAGGGTCAAAAATGGACTAGACAAATTTATGGACAATAGATCTATTAATAGCTATTAAACAGAACAGTAAGAAATGTTTCCTCTGGCATCTCTAAATCAATGATGGTGGATGTCAGGGAGGGTAATGAATAGGGGATAGTTCATTCTAGATGTACATGGTTCAGTGCTCTCTCTCTAAAGCAAAATCCACTCCTGCTGCTGTTGGAGATAGGTTGCAGGGCTTGGTCTGACCCACTATGGTGCTATTTATGTATAGCCAGAGGACTGCATCTGGCCCATTGAGCCAGGGATCCGTTGTAGCATTTTGACTGCGGGGGGAAGTAGCGGTGGCAGTACTGCAGGGGGGCAGTAGTGACTGTGGCTCCAGCTATTGCTTTGGTGGCAGTGGCACTGGCCAGTATAGAAATGGCTTGTGCTTAGAACTAAGCTTCATTAAAGTAGCTTCCCACAGCAATAAAGTTGTCAACCTCTGTTGTAAAGCATTGTAGATGGTCCTCGTGCTGGAGTCAGCCCTAAAACAAGAAACAACCAGTAACCATTGCAGTACTGTATTCATCCCTTGGAATACAAAGTCAAGTTACTTATTCCATTAAAATTGAGTTCAGACTGGTTAACATCTTATGCAGTCTTATAACCGTTTATTCTTTTGACTAGAGACTAGGGATGGTATACTAGAGAGGTGTCATTACCTGGAAAGCCAGCATTAAAACTCAAGAATTTCACAGTTAAGTTTAGAGTTAAAGGAATACAGACATGTTAAAGTTTTGAAGTAGATAGCTGAGGCACATAAAGAACCTTAACTCTGCTCTGCAAAAGATAAGCATTTTGGCTGTTTATAGATGCACTCTGGGAGTCCGGAGGGAGGGTTTGCTTTAATTAGAGCAGTTCCAAGAGCTGCTCTAATTAAAGCTCCCAAGAACGTATCACTGTCCCTGTGGTGAAAAATGGTGGTGGAGGCG